TCCCTTCCAACCCAAAGCATTCTAGGATTCTATGATTCTATCATTCACTTAACTACAACAGTTCAGTCAGACAATTCAGTAAGTATCTTTTTTTTAGTTTTAATACACACATCAACATATGCTTACTTTTCTTATCCTATACTTGCTTTAAAAGAAACTCTATGGTGTCTCCAATCACCCTTCCTCCCCATCCTTTCAGAAATTTCACAAATCTAACATATTAGCAAGGCAATACACTCACCATGCCACAATTCATCGTGCTTTTTAGAATTTCTAGGGGAGGTTTTTGTGGGAGCAGTTTGTGCTCTTCCTCTTTTACCACCAACACAGTCCTTATTACCATCTTCATCCTCTCGCACAGGTTTGTACCTAAAAAGTAATTAGAAGTTAAAACCATGTTTGTGAAATACTAACTTACATGGAAACTAAAGCAGTTATAAAAGTGTTAGTTGTTTGATTACCAGAATTTTACTTGCATGACAGTTAAAAGCAGAAAGACAAGAACAATGCATTTGGACATGATCCAGCCTTTGAAGCTAGGCCCTCAGAAGGGCCCTCTGGCTCCATGAACTGGAAGAAGAGAAGCAGAAGGTATAGACAAAAAAAACAAGTGGTTTGGGGGTTTTTTGGGGGTTGGGGTGGGTTTTTTTTTTTTTGCTTTTGTATAAATATTAGAAAGAAAAAGACACTGCTAAATGTTAAAGCGTTTGGGACAGTCATAGGTCAATACTGCTCCTTGCAAAGTATGGCCAGAGAATACATACACCTGTACAGCGATCAACTATGAAAACCAGTATGAAGTTGACCGTTATTTGTAGACCGCAGACACATTTTCTATTGTTTGTGGTTAGCTCCCTAGCACTAAGAATGATTTCCCTCCATCTAGCAAGGGTCATTTTAAGATTCCCCATTTCTTGTTCATCAGCTTCACTCATAAGCTAGAAAGAACATCAGCAGCTAACAATGAATTCTTACTAAGTTTTAAGTATCTCAAGCACTTTAGGAAATTCAAAGCTTCACAGTTGGGGGCAGCGGGGGAAGACAGCTATATTCCAATTTTCTTTATGTATGTACATCTAGGAAACTAGAGAAGCCGTCCCCTGATTTCTCTAGCCAACTTACCAAATAGTATGCGTTTTTGTCCAAATCCCAGCTCTTCCTAATGGGTTGCTTTCATCATCTGTAGACTCCCTCTCCTCCTCAGCTTGCAAACTGTACTGCCTAACTGCTTGATACACAGTCATATTGTATGGCAGCAAGTGATCTCCAATGTAAAATTGCAGTCTATGTCTCACATTCCCTGAATTTAAGAATTGAGCAGCCTGAACAAGATGAAAAACACACACAAGTTAGGAAACTTGTTGCTAGCTTTTCTTTAAACCTCTCCCCACACTGCTCCCTCCCCATACCCCCAGAGCAAAAGCTTACCAAAGATTCATCTATTTCTTCATCTGACCCATCATCATCACTATCCTCATCATCTTCTCTAACTCTTCCATAGCCTGAGGCAAGAGGGGAGAAAAACATCCTCATTTGTTTTTACACGAAATGTAGCAATGCTTTTGTACTCTGACTTTTATAAACTCCACTGTTTAAAACAGTTCCAAAATACATCAGTTAAAAAAAAGTAAGATTCAGATGTGTTAGAGTAAGTTTCAGTATCAACATCTGGCATCAAAAACGCCAAGTTACAGCCAATCTGACAGTCAACTAGATTATACTTCCGTTAGTATGTAGACTGAACTGTTTACAACAGGAAAAAGTTTGTCCCAGGAAAGAGAAGATTCTCTCCAGCCTTAGTCTTCTTCCCTGTGAGCAAGATACATTTATAGGTACCTCCCATTTGTCTTCAATATAACCCTCACAGGTTTTTACAGACTCCACACTACTGACAGTAGTGACTATCCCAAGAAGCAACACACATGTGACTGTATAATATATATATATACCTCTAACTACAAGGTATCTTTCAATGGCTTGTACCAAAGCCAGAGGATCAATCTTCACAGGTCCACCTTTCCACTGTTTCACATTAGCACAGTCTGGATGTCTTTGCAGTTGGCATTTTAATTGGTGTGTATTGAAGAATTTTAAAGCTTGGGATCCTCTGTTAAGAGAAAAACTCAAAATAATTTGTGAAAAAAGTTGCTACACAAAGAATCTAATCACCATAATTGCATTTAAAAATGCATTTAGAAAGGCTTATACATGCATTTACAAATTCACTTGTTCAGAGTATTGCTTCTCAGTCTATTTCTCTAAAAATAAGCTATTAAGATTTGGATAAACAGACTAAAAATTCTATTCTACAAGAACACCAGAATCCAAGTTGGACAAAATCTGATTTCCAATAGAAGCTCCATGGATTAAGAGACAGTCCAGTCTGAGGTCTGATTACAATATGGCCGATAGTGACCAACTTTGAGGTGAAGTTGTTCAGTGGTCAGCTGATGCCACATGAGATTTAGAGCTGTGCTTACATGCAGTGCAATAAGGATCAGAATCGGGAGGTGGAAAATGCAAGTATCCATTCATATGTTTTTTTGATAAGAACCTGAAGAGACAACCTGAAACCTGTGTTTTCTTGCCAAATATGTTCCATCTCGCCAAACTATGAATACTCAAGTTAGCCGTTTTTATACACAAACCTCTTATCTTGGGCTGCTTCTATTTCCAGGTGCTAGTGAAAGACTACCAAATCTTAATGCCTCAAAATCCTCATTGACATAATCCATAGTAAGACTAGCAGTCAAACAATGCTGCAGTAGTCTGGCTTCCCATGTTTAATTTTCTATCAAAAAGAATAGCAGAATTTTGCTTCTATGATTAGCAGCTTTATAACTTTTGTAGTTATCCTACTTTTTACAGAAATAGTGCATATTAGGAAGCACTGCAGGATTACAGAGCACATATACTTGCAAAAGCCAGTATGAAGACAATTAATACCTTCAAGTATTAGAGATCTGTGTATTGCATTCATTCCCAGGGATTTTAACAGTTTCACAAAAAACAAATACTGAATTTTAATGTAACTTAGATTAATGTCATAGTGTGAGGCTCTACTACATCTACTGTAATTGATGTTGTATCACAGTCAGTAACAAAAAATATCCACATTAACTTACTACCTGAGAGACACAAGATTTTGGCATTTCAAACTTTAAAGAATAGTTTTCAAAAATTCATTTTCAATGCTCCTCCCCTCCTAATTTCTACATAGTCACAAGAATATGTCTATAATCAAATTGAGCTTTTAGCCAGCACCACAAAATACTTTCAAAACTTGCATGCAACTTATACTGAAATAGAATTACTAACTGCTATATACTGAATGAAAATTATTGATTTATTAAAGTACAGAAAACAAGTTGTAGAAATAGGTCTTCAGCCACTCAAACTTGTTACTTATAACTCAAATAACAAGTTGGATTCCAAATTTAACCTATCTTAAGACACAGGGAGGCCTACAATTAGTTTAAACTATGTTGACAGCCAACAGTTATCACTCAATCCATTACCATCCTAGAGAACAGAACCTATCTGAATAACAAAGTTCAGTGCTGTAATACAAACTCTCAGCAGTTTAATTACTTCACTAAAAAAATATCAGTGTCTCAGCAATAAATAGATGGTTTCTTTCCAGAGTTTGTTACATTGGGACAAGGAAGACATCTGAATTTTTAATGTGTGATTGCTTTTGTCTTTAATAGGGCGAGAGGTTTCCATTACCTCTTGGAACTTTTAAAATTGAAACAAGTTTTCGAAAACAAAAGCTTCTAACAAAATTGTTACCTGAGCATTAATCCTTACCTGCTCCCTGTTCCATTTCCACTAGGGAAGTCATGCACTTTGACAGGAAACTGTTCCATCTGACTGAGGCAATTGTTCATTTTATGGACTAATGCCAGCAAAGGTGCATTTTCTAATGGCTCTAATCTTCCAAGGGGTTCTTCTCCAGGAAGCTGAAATATATTCCAGTCTTTTAGTTGTGTGCTTGAATTAATCCATCTTAAACAATTTATACCACAAGTTGTGTAAAAAAAACAAAAACCACCACCACACCCACAAAAAACCCCATAGAAATTAAGAATCACTGCTCTCACTTAAAGTAGCAGCAGTATCAGGATGACTAGATGACACATAACAAGTTTATGAAAGACCTGTTTCAAAGAACACACTTTTCTCTCCTCGTTTCCACTGAATAGCCCTACAGATTTTAAGCATTCACCCTTAACCATAAGCAGTAAGGTTCATGGAAGCTGTATTTATCTTCCCTCTCTTCCACTTTAAATTTTTTCCTTTAAAAACAGGACAACCTAGTTTCTTGCAGTATTTAGGACTAAAGAGAGCAAGCAGTAAGATTACTATCCAATCTCTTTCCTTATCAACTTCTTAAAAGTCAGAAACAACTTTTAAGTTGTTCAACACTCAGACAATTGGCCATTTTAGAATTTCTTTCCACCGCTGTGTGGAATTTTCTGTAATTACAGGGTAGTCTAAAAAGTTTTGACCTGTAAAGATATAGAACCATGCGAAAGTTGTCATGTTATACAGCTTAGGCATAAACAAAATATTCCTTCCATACTCCATCTTTAAGTCAACACCATTGCTGAACCTCTCAGATGGTCAGGTAATTATCTTTCAAATTGTACTTAAGACAGACAAAACAATAAACAAGAAAACTTACTGGAGAAGAAAAAAATACATGAAGAAATCTTTTCAATCTGATATCCCTGCTTACAGCATCTTTCTCACTTTTAGATGTCAAATAAAGCAGCAGTTGTTTAACAAACCCGCTATGCTGGATTTCAAAGGAGGAGACGTCAGACTCCGAGACAATGCTACGGATTTCTACAAGGCACTCTATTCCACCATCCACCTGAAAAGTATGAAGGTAGTATTTTACTATCCAGGTATTAAGGGCTTAAGAAATACTGTTTTCCCTCCTACTGCATAGAACAGCTCTAAAGGAAGGGGAAAAAAGGGAAAGTCTGGAGCGTATAGTAACTCAGTACAAGCAATGACAAGGCAAATAATCTGAGGATAAGCAACTTCTCTATTCAAGCGGAGACATTACAGGCAACATCTACATTTTCCCTGTGTTAAGAGAAATGCAAGGTCCCATTTCTGTCTTATGCAATGTAAAGATGAGCTCCAAACAGAAGTTTAAAAAAAATCAGATTGGTATGTAGTATTTTACATGACATCTGTGTGGGAAAGAGGAGGAGGGAAAGTTTCATATCTTAACGATTGCTTAGATCAAAGCACAGATCATAACTCAGCTGTTTAGCTACTTTAGAAGTTACAGGTTTAGACCATCTATCAAGGATCACAACTGTCTGAGAAACAAGGCTCAAGTTCTTGAGATGCTAGTAGATTCGACCCAATCTGCATTTCTTCCATCCTTTCAGCAAAATGCTACTTCCCTCTTGTCCTCCGCCCACCCCCAAAGTTCTTATTACAAACTGTGTTCTTCTTTAGGTATAAAGTCAAACCCTAACACCTAGCTTTATAATTTAAATTTGAAATAAAATGCTATGTAAGTGACACACTGCTAGGAATCAAGAATACCCTTGTTAATACTGGTCACTTACCATATGTGTCAGAGCATATATACTAATTCCAAAAAAAAAATCCCAAGCAAACTATTGCAAGTTAAGAAACACTGTATCATCAATTAAGAAAACAAAATCTATGCTTAAAACTGGCCATACTGCCTACAACGGTCAGCCTTCCTGTAGTTTCCTCCTAAATACTTCTACTGCTTCCACCCCCACTCCAAGTAAGCTTGCCATTTCTAACCTGGAGGTTGAGTTGTTCAGTTGCAGTGCAAAGTCTCTGTAATACATTTAGTGCAGGATTGCTTCCATCCATGTTTTCAGAACTAAAATAACGTTCTACAAATTTATGGGCTTGCTCCTTAATCCAGCCCTTAATTTTTTCTCTGTAAATAAGCACACAAAATGCATTATTCAGCCACACTTAGCATTTGCATACTGCACTATTACAAGTAAACACAGCCAGACTATCGTTTTCCCCATGTTTAATAGCAGTCACAGACAAAATCCCTTCCCTCTTACTCCAGCACAGTAAACGTCTATTCTCTACAGATTACTTCTTGCACCATTTTTCCCCAATTCTCCAATTTTTCCCCAGCATGGTACTTGAAACTATTAAGAGTTATTTTCTCTACCTTAATTTCTTGATTCTTCTTCCGGAGTTATTTTAACAGTGGTTAAGCTCAAACTTCTTTGATAGGTGCTACTTAATCACCTAACAGCTTATCATAAGAAAGTAGCTGCATGCCAAGATCAACACCATGTTAGAAGTATTTTGATTTTTTTGCATGTGTACCTGTTATTGGAAATGGTATCCTTGGAAGCAGCCCTTGCAAGACCACTTACTCCTGCTGTTCGTGCTGGTTCAATACTATTACTGTTGGACTGTGTGCTTAATCTTCCCCATGTTTTAGGATTTAAACTTGCCAAGAAGGAAGATTTAGGCGATTGAGTAGTTGTGGGGCTTTTAGCTGAAGGAAGCAAAGACAAAATTAAGAGAATCAACCTGTTTACAGCTAGCACTTTTGACAGCCTATAAGCTTACTTTTAAATTCAAAAGGAGATAGAGTATCACATTTTAAGAATTATTTACCTTGATTGTCTACTTTGTCATCATCTCTTGGAGGAGAGTATTTTGGTCTCCTTGGCCCTCGTTTTGGCAGTCTTTTTCTCTTTAGAACATCGCTCAGTCGTCTGTCCAAATTTAAAAATTAAGTTGACGTTTCCATCTACCATATTCATACACATACCCATCCCTCAGTTTAAGATGCATGTGCCAGCTATTTCCTCAAGAATTAATAAAAGACTCCATCCCATAACAAGGAGGGCACAAGGGAAGAATGAGCTCTGGGAGAAGGGGCCTCAACTCTATTTTAATTGGAAGGACAGAGTGACTACTCCATCCAGAAAGAACAGGTTTTGCTTGCTGTCACCTTTCTACTATGGACAGCCAAATACAACCAGAAGTGCCACTGAATAAAGATTTCTCATAGTTACACAAATAAAACCATGAAAATTATCTCATTATTCATCTATTTGAATACACATAAAAATAAAATAAAAAAAAAAAATCCACAAATCTCTACTGAATAAACACCAAAAGACACAGGGTATTTGACCTGCCTCCCCTATTAAAAACCCAGAAAGCACTTTTTCAACAATTTATCGAGTTTCTACTTACCAAGACCTACACTTCCCAAGTTCTCATATTTCAATTCATGTTTAAGCTGAGTTTCCTTACTATGCCAATACATTAAAACAAACATTTCACTTTCAAAATAAAGGCAAACTGTATAACACTAAAATAGTGTATTCCTACAAGAGATTAATTCTACAAGTGTTCAGAATGGTTGCATTCCAACAAAGTAACTAAGGATGATTTCTTTTTCCTCCAGTCTCCAGCAGAAAAGAACCATGCACCATAGCTATCATTTCTCTGAAAGAATCACTCTGTTCAAGAGTTACATGAGGCTACAGCTGTTGCTCTTGGCATTCTCCAGCCTCTCCCCAAACAGCATGGATTGTTTCATATCATTACATCGTAACTATCAGGTCACTAGTCTTTTTTTTTTTTTTTTTTTAAAAAAAACAAACCCAAAAACATTTCCTATAAAATGAATCAAAACTACCCACTAATAGCTTCAACACCACACCAATTTTAGTTTCTTAGAGGAAAATATCACAGCAAAATGCAGATGATACTGTAGCAGCCCATGTCAGTCAAGACTTCTGAAACAAAACAAAAAACCCACCCCACCCCAAACCACACCACAAAACACACACACACAACCAACCAAGAAGACCCACACACAAACCACAAACAAAAAAACCACAGATTGTTCACAACAAATAATGCACTTACCCCTGTGGGCTCAGATCCAAAGAATCCTCCCGGCTGTGCTGTAAGCTGGGAGAGCCCAAATCGGCAGCTGCATTACTGGCAGCAGTGGCTGTTCCAGTAGTTATTGTAGTGGTAGCCAGCGTTCCTGATCCATTAGTGCATACTTTTGGTGGGCTTGTTAGCAAAGCCTCAGACTCTGCTAAGTTTTTCACTTGGTGCATCACCCCTTTGCAAAAGAAGAAATCTTTGTTTGGTGGGTTGGTTTGGTTGTGGATTTTTTTTCTAGGGTGAGGGGGTGTGGGGGTCAAAGGTATTTGAAAAGGTAGAAGTCTTATTAGAACCTCTGTTTTGACTATGGCAGCATTGGCTCACCCCACCCATCAATACTAAGTTTTAAAAGCAGTTTAACCCTTTCTTAAAAAAGTTAACCTACATAGTTTAAAAGAAAAAAAAAAAAAAGACAGCAGCACAAACAATAGCTAAAGAAACCCTAAAAATCCCTAGTAGATTATAACAAAGAGTTCCTGCCAAAGATTCATCAGTTTTGTCCAGTAAGACTACCCATGTCATTTCAGCAAGCCGTCTTCAGCCTAAATATAAGTTCACTAGCATCTAGTAAGCCTGTACAAACTTGTTTCAGATTCAGAAAAAATAAGCTTGCCTCCTCCAGAGTCTTGGTCAGCTCCTCCCCAGTCATATGACGACAGCTTGCATGGATTTGTCTTTTTTACTCAAGAACAGTATTAACTTTTTACAGCTTGCGGGGGGATGGAGTGGGGGTAAAGGACATGGATTATCGACACATGCTTTTAAAATGCTAAATAAGGAGGTGAAGAGGAAAAAAAAAAAAAAGCAAGCAAGATTTACCTTCTCTTCTGAAGTAAACACTAAAAATGTCAGGTAACTTTTGCATTAAGATCTCTGCCATCTGCAGGGCTCCAACTACTATCTTAAGGTCTTGACTTGACAGCATGGAGGCAATATGACTAAAACAGATAGTTTCATTAGAATTAGGTTTGTCTTTTCATTTTGCGTTGTTTAAAAAAAAAATCAAACCAGTTCATCTTGCATACATAGTACTGGAGACTGAAAGCAAACAAATTTCACTGTGCTTTTGTAAAAGCTATAATAAAAGGACTGAAAAAGTCCTCTTCCCGCCTAAACCACTTTTACCAAGTTTTAGCATGTGGCATAAAGGAAAAGAGAGAGTTTTCTTCCTTTAAAGAACATGGTATTGTGGAACTTTGTACTGCCTCTGAAAAACCAGTCAGTTTATTTTTTAATTGCATCCTTCTATGTAGATCCCTAATTTTACGGTATATTGTGTAGGAGAGGTTTCATGAATAGAACTTACTAGTTGAATGCCATGAGAGTCTGTTATTGTTCACATTGTTATTACCTCAAAAGTCATTTTTCCCTCAGAAGAATTTATAGGTAAGCTTTAGAAATCAGGAAAATAGTCAATGGTAATACTAGACATTACTAGTACACACAGCCATATAGGTAATCTAAGTTTCTAATAACTATGCCTAGAGTCAGCACCTACTACAAAATCTAAGGTGCAAAAAATTCCTGAAGAGCTGACAGCCTCAGCTTTTGGAAAATAAATACATAAGAATTTAAAAGTACAATCTTCCCCTGAAAAAGATGATTCAAAAAAAAAAAGTAATCACAAGTGAGTCATAAGCTCAAAATCAGTTTCATTCACAACGGTTAACAAACCCACCTTGAAACAGCATGGTTTTTCAGCACATCCTTCAGAAGTTCAGCATCAGCAAAATAAATTATCCTAAGAATTGCTCTAAGGCACTTGTGTCTAACAGCAGGTCCAGCTGAAGAACTATATACTTCATACAGAACACCAAACAATGTTTTGATAAAGGATTTTGCCAGTTCTGGGTCCTCTTTCATTAGTTGTGCTCGAGCATCATCCTTCTTCAATTCTGAATGTCCACCTGTGAAAAATTGTGCAACAAATGACTACATAGTTCTTTGCATCTCTGCTCTGATGATTACTTTCTTTTTTTAAAGCTGAATTAGCTTAGCTCTTGAATTGAAAAGATATAATTTAAGAACCAGAAGTCAAGCTGATGGCAAGAATGTAGGTACAAGTCCTCCTCTTTCAAGGGGTCGAGTATTTTTTCTTCAGTTTTCTTATATATTTCTGTACGCTAGTAAGAAGTCCTCACACAGTCTTTGTTAAATAAGACCTGTATGAACAAAAGTGTTTCAGAAAATCCCAAGCCAAGAACACCCCCAGCTCCCCCCAGTTTAATGCATTTTCAGGTCCCACGAAAAAAAGAATACATTTCAACAGTGAGTTTTGTTGTCAAGCTGTCTTCATTCATGTATATCAGAATAGTTCGATGTTCCACAGAAACCACAAGAAATATATTAGCTAAGTAACAGACTGTTGTATAACCCAGCATAAGTTAGCCATAACTAAAGATACCACGTGTCTCCTAAGGTGTACTTACTAGTGTTTGTATTGGCTAAAGGGTTTGGTTTCCGCTGAATGGCACGTGCTGTTCCAGTATCCTCATTTATTTGCTGCATAGAGTTAAAATCAATAGTATAGACACGCCCAAGTGTAGACAGGCTTATCTCATCCTCACCAACCTGATGAGCTGCCTAAAAACAAGGAAGAGTTTAAAGTTAAGAAATCCCTAACGAATAGGAAGCTATATGAAAGGCGGTAAGAGGGGCAACACAGTAGGAAAAACACTGACTGACAGAAATGCAGTAAGAACAGTGATTAAGCAGTTCACCCATTACTGAATACCAAAATAGTGCAATATTACAGCAGGATGGTTTGAAGAAACTTGTGTTTCTTACTCTGAAAGAACAAGGCTGGTAGTTCCAAAACCATAAGGAAAGCACTCAATTCCCTATACAACCACATATATATTTAAAAAACATCATCACACAAACGTGCATAATTACTACCTCTATTATTCGACTATCAATCCTGTTATAGGGATGCCAGAGACCCCTGTCATCTCGCCACTGCCATATTGCACCATCTGTATTTTGCGCATTTCCTTTCTTTAGCATGGTATCAACAGCGAAGATTCCCTCTTTTGGCAGGCAAGGCATCAGTTCACTGTAAAGAACATTAAAACAGTATTTTACTAGAAGTATACAAAAAAGTCCATCTAAGCTTAAAACTGTTTGCCTTCATTTTAGAGAACTTACAAATTTTAACATATCAACCAGACCCAAAACCTAGGGCTGCATAACTTACCAGATAAGAGAAGTAAGCTCATAAAGTTCTTGAGGACTTCGTGGAACAAGGTCAATTTGCTCTTGACAACTCCCATTCGAGGCTCCACAAAGGAGGAAGTGAAGTGTTTCTGCAATGTCTATAAGAATTATTATTTATGAGATTGCCTGTATCAGAATACAGACTCCATTTTGTGTTAGACACTACACAGAAGAGATAGTCACTGCCCTAAGCAAACAGACAGTAGACGGTAAGACAAAAGCCATCTCTTTGAATACTGTAAGAAACATTTGTTCTCAGGTCTGGGTTTTGTGGGTTTTTTTTGTTCTGGGTTTTGGGTTCCCCCCACCCTTAAGGGACACCTAGGGGGTGAAATATCACTCAATATACAGGGCGCAGAAGAAAACAGGGGAACGTACAGGGCAGCTGAAGTGGCAAGTCAAAATTTACAAGATGAAAAGAAGGAAACAAGTGAGAACTGAGACAGCTACACAGTGCTTACTTTTCTTAATGTTTTCCCTTAGAAAAAGCCCTTAAATCACATGTTTCCCCCACCTGGTAAAGACCACAAAAAGAATTACTCGTGTTGCAATGGGAGTAACTTGTGCAGCTAATACAGGCTCAAAATTAGGTGAACACTCCAGTGACAACAGCTATAGACAGGAAAGGGGAGAAAAATCCCTCAAGAAAAAAAAACTTTCAGCAAGATTAACTAAACTCTGTATGCCAGTGGAAGCATAGTAAGAGAGAAAAACAAGAGAACACAATATTTGTATAATCAAGTGCACAGAGTCCCATATTGACTGTAGGCATTAACTTAAATAGGTCCCCCAGAATACGAAAGAGCAAGAACTCACTTTGCTTCATAAGTTGGACTGCAAGCGTAGGACAATTGGAGCACATTAAGGAAAACATGCGCACCACCATGATGAACATTCCTGAGCTCAGGATAGGAGGCGTCACTACCAAGAGCTGCTGGATATTTGTTAACAAGTCCTTGGAAGCAACCTGCTGGAGCAAGTTCTTCAGGAGGGAACAGCAAAATTAAAAACGTTAGTCTGACTTTGAAAGTAAGCCCTTAGGAGAAACTGAGGGAGAGAAGAAGGAAACGAAAAATCCATGCTCAAAAACAAAAAACCCACCCTTACCTCTTCATGCTGGAAGTTGTCCACTAGCCGTGCAAAACAGAGACAAGTGCTTTCAACAGACTTCTTGTCCTATTATAAAAAAAGGTAAGTATTTGTTTGCATTAAAATATTTTAATTTGCATTAGATTATCCTGTTGTTTTGAGGCATTCATAAAATTTCTCTAAAAAGGCCCGTCAAATCAAGTTTTACAGCATATTACAGCTCTGAATTTTAAATTCACTGATACAGTCCAAACTGACCTCCTGAAATGGCATATTCCCCAGGAAACACCTCACACTTGCAACACAAATACCTTTAGGGACCTTTAGAGATGAATAAATGGGTCTATAATATCCTTTTTGGATTCTACAAGGAGGAAGCAAAAGGGAACAGAGCTACAAAGCCAAAACAACAGGAGATACAGATAATAAGCAGGAGTGAAGGCTACCGTTCTACAGACTACATGAAGCCTGATTTCTATATCATGCAGTGCAGCCAAGACAGCAAATCCAAAGACACCAAGATAGTAAAGACTGCACTAAAAATAGCTCTAGTTAAAAGCTCATTGAAACACTCAAAAAAGTTCATCTGAACATAATATAACACTTTTACTGTAAGGGTGGTTGAACACTGGAAGAGGTTGCCAGAGAGGCAAAGTCTCCATCCTTGGAGTTTTGGGGCTTGTTGGGGGGTGGAAAGGTGGGGGTTGGTGGGTTTTTTTGTTTGGTTGGTTGTTGTATTTTGGGGGTTTTGTTTTGGTGGTTTTTGCCTTTTTTTTTTTGTTTGGTGGGTTTTGTTTGTTTGTTGGGGGGGTGCTGCTGCTTTAAAAAAAAAAAAAAAAAAAATCAGCTGGACATGGTCCTGGGCAATCTGCTCTAGTTGACCTTGCTTAAGCAAGGAGTTAGGACTAGATAGCTGAGAGGTCCCTTCCAACCTCAACTATTCTGTTAAGAGCTAACTCACAATTTTTCTTTGCCAGAAAAATTCCACTTCAAAATTTCTTGAAATCTTACTTTTTTGGGTTGTAGCTTTCTCTTCAGAGAGCAGAAGTCAGTACTTGTCCCTACTACTGCTGAGACTGGCGCTTCCTGTTTCCAAAGCACTATCTAAAGCTGACATTTGACTTCTGTGAAGCTGCCTCAAAGATTCAAGCAGTCTCTCAGCAAGATGTTGGCAAAATTAAGAACAGCACAAGAATACACAGAAACATTACCTGGAAGCTTTAATTTAGCTGCATTTGTTAAGGAACAAAATAATTTCACCTTTTTAACAGGGATCTGCCAACCAAGCAGTATATCCAAATCTCTTTTGGTGCAACAGTCATTGTGAGTGCTCATTTATGAGCATAGCAGCGTTGCAGGATAGGCAGATCTTAGTAGCCCCACGATTTAGGATTCATCACTTCAAACTATCATGCAAGAGTAGAAACTTTCTTTTTAAAAAGCCGTAAGCCCTCACAAAATGTCAAATCAGAAAAAAACCACAAAAATTGGAACTGAAGCTTTTATAAGTTTGAAGTAGGAGGGAACCTTGCAACTCATTCATTAAGAAAAAAGAACAGTAATGCTACTGGATTTCCTCTTACTGATGGGTAACAAGGACTACAAAGCCCCTATTATTCATGCTCTAAATTAAAGTACCTTATTTATCTCATTTTATAAAATTAATAGGGGTGTCATGAATCCTTACAGCACATTTACAAAAAACAAAAGGTCCATATGCACATTAGAATATCACAACTTGACAGTATAGTAACTTTAAGGGAATTATCACATTGCAAAGGCAAATAATACACAGTAAAGAACTAGATATCTGGAGGCAACTTTATACTACTTTCAGGTCAAAATTAAAACATTCCATTTTATAATAGCTTCTTACCTGATGGGTTAACCTTTGTGTAAGCAGTGGCAAAGAGTCTGCCACAAAGTGAAACTCATCAGGTGTAATACTCTGGCAGCAGTTGGCAGCAATAGCTAGTGCATTCCTCTGTGCATTTATACTGAAGAATTCCAGATACAACAAACAGTCTGCCAACCCACCCTGTAATAAGACAAACATTTTCACTCTCAGTACTGCTGAAGTCACAGAAACTTGTTTTCTTATGTCATCTTCACAGATCACCAAGACGTAGAATTGGTAGAGGTAAAAGTGCTTGCTTTTTTTTTTTTTTTTAACTTACTGCCTGCAGAATGGCTTTACTATGCCTCCGTGACAACATCTCCAGGGCTGTAAGCGCCTGCTCTGCCACATCAATGCACTGAATAACTTGCAGCTACAAGAAAACAAGCAAGTTTGTAGATTAATTTCTAAACCGGTTTGTAAAAATAATAATATTCATTAACATTTGGACAGTTAGCCTGTACTAAGACACATATACTAATGCAGCTGCAATGCTAGCTGTAATCAAGCTAGCCAATTTAGGGCTACATCAGCTATATAGCTACTCCAAGAGTTACCAGGTTGTATAATTACGCAGTATCTTTCCAACACCAATCAGACAAAAAGTTCTCAGTGAACCAGACAGTGCTTTTCGGTAAGGGCGTGAACAAACCGTAAACCCGTTTTTAAAAGATTCTCATGCATTATATATTATCTTGTAAGCTATGAAAAGAAGCCATTATCTTAGTAGTATATCCTAAGTTTAAACAAAAGATAAAATCCCCTCAGATTAGTTTAACACTGTTTTGATTTCATTTTACCTTTTCCAAGAAGACAGGAATTGCATCTACCACTACAGCAGATGACCTGGGAAGTGCTTCCATCATATATGTTAAGGCCCGACATGCATGGTTCATCTATTAAATACATAGATATTTGTTTTTAAGCTCAGATGATACATTTTTCTATTTAAAAAATTTTCTTAAACATTACAAATCACTTACAATGTCAAAGTTGTGCTCCATCTGCAGCAGTGTTATCTGTTTTTTTTTTAAAAAAAAGTGTTGTTAGTTTAGTAAACAGTATCTAGATATCAACATAAATAAAGGGCACAAATCAGTATTGTAGCTTTTGACTCAGGACTTTGAA